CTGCCAACAGGAGTGATGGCCGGTGCCCAGGGCTGCCCCTGCTGCAGTCAGGAACTCCCCAAGAGCCCATCGCTTGCTGCCGGGCTCTCTGCACACTTGCCCTGTGGCATTCGGCCGCTCTGGGTGAGCACCCCAGGACCCTCCTCCGAGAGCATCCCTGGGGCACCAGCAACGGGGCAACAGAACATTTTTAACAGCCAAAGCGAGAGGCAGCAGGAAGGACAGATCAGGGGTGGCCGCGTGGTGGGGTCACGCACAGCCTGAGCCACCTGGCTCTCAGCGACCCCAAAGCAAACACCCCCAGGCCCCCGGCCACCCGCAGAAACTCACCCACCAGTCGGAAAACAGCACGTTTGAACAACAAAAGAGGAAGCAGCTTGAGGAGTCCCTCAAGCAAGCCTGGGTAGGTGGTACCTTGTCTCCTTTGGCTCCCAGGTCTCCCTTAGCTCCAGCCGGACCTCGACAGCCCTACAAGAGCAGCAGAGGTGGAGGACATGCTCAGGAAACCTCGTTAGATCTCTCCTTGTCACCAAAGCATGCTGTCATCTGACTGTGGCATTGAAGAAAGTTAGTTTTGCCCAATTTAGATGGGGGCTTTGCTCCCCATAGACCTTGCAGAGCTGGGAGCAGGCACACGCTGGATCTGCTCCCCATGGTGGGAGGCTCCCAGAGCTTCTGGGTTCGTTCACCACCAGCACCCTGTGCCAACCTCCCGCCTCCAGCTCCCCAGACACCGGACGCTGCAGCAGCCCGTGGTGGCATCTCAGCTGCGCCATCCTGATGCCAGCATGATGATAAGCGCCTTGTCCTCAGCGCCATGTCCCTTAACACGGGCTAAAGCACCCGCACTTCTCCTGTGCCTCCCCAAGGCAGATGGTATCTGGGGACACAGTGGGAAAGCTCTTATTACAGCCAGGCAAGTCCAGGTGTGGCTCTGCCTTCCCAAACGACTGCGTGTGCCACCTATGCAAACATCAGGTCTAAACACAGGCAAAGACCACAAAGCTGGTGCTTTGGGCTGCTCTAAGGTGGCTCTCCAGCATCCCAAGCCTGGCATGGCGTGGGTGCCATCACTCACCCGCTCTCCTCGGGTGCCTTTGGAACCTGGCAGGCCAATAAACCCCTTCAGAGGGAGACACAAAACGCAAGTTAAAAAAAAAAAAACAAAACACCAAAACAAACCATAAAGGAAAATATCGCAAGTGCTCGTGGAGGCTGACAGCCCTCCCACGCTCCGGGGTGGGAAGATGCTGATAAATGGGAGACACCGATTTGGCTCTGCAGAGTTGTCGCTGCCAACACCATGGTGGGATTTGCCCCCCAGCAGGGGTGAGGGGATGCACGAGCCCTCGCCAGGTTACCCCCACCCACCCAGCAGCCTTCAAAAGGCACCACCCATGTCCCACTCCGCATCTGCATCCCTCCGGCAAGCACCAGCCCCCAGCTCTGCATGTTGGGGTTCCAGCAGGTGAGAAGCAAAGGTGAGGGCCATGGGCAGGAGGGAGGGCAGGGCTGCCTCGGCCTCATCACCCCTTGGGAAGGGCAGCTCAGCACCCAAACCCCTTGGGAAAAGGGGTGCACCTCATGGGGCACCAAGGGAGGGACAGACAGGGCTGGGGCTGGGGCGTCTCTTCTGGAAAATCCATAGGAAAAAATTAAAATTAAGGTCTCTGCAAGAAGCAAAGTCAGAGGAGCTTTGGGGTTTGGAGGTGACGAGCATGGTCATAGGGATGTGGCTGTCATCCCCACCAGCCCGTGTGCTGCAAACCCTGCAGGAGGCTGCGGGTGGCAGAGGGAGCAGGGTGTTGCCCCACAGTGCTTTGGGATGCTGCAAGGGGGAGGACAAGGGCACCCCCCCCCAACCACCCATTCCCATGGACTCACCCCAGGGCCCTCCTGTCCCAGCTGTCCCCTCAGCCCGGAAGCACCATCTGTGCCCTGCAAGAGCAACGCTGGCATCAGCTGGTGCCATGCCAGGCAGAGCATCCAGCCCCACCACGGCCCCTCCCCGGGGCTGCTGGGGACCCCCAGGCTCCATTCACAGTCTGCTGCAAGCGCTGCCCCCCTCTCCCCTCCGAAAACAGGGGCATGGGCACCTCACCCCACCACTCAGGGGAAGCCCTCAAGCCTGGGCTTCGTCCCCCCAGGGCCAAAGCCAGGCAGCAGGAGGCTCTTACGGTGTCTCCTTTGGGACCGGCGCATCCCTCCAGCCCAGCTGGACCCTACAGAAAAGCAAAGGTGTCGGGAAGTTTGGGAGAAGAGAGGTGCTGCTCAACATCCTGCGCCGCAGATGAGACCCTCCCGGGGACCATTTCCCCACCAGCCCACCCTTCGCCCCCCACCCTGCACAACCTGCCCGGAGCAGGGGCTGCAGCAGCACCCAGCCCATGGGACACGGCCCTTCCCACCCTGCCACCCACTCCAGGGTGGCCATAAGGACCTGCAGGGTGAAGGTCTTCATGCCCATTTCTCAAGCGCCTGGTGACAAACCCCAGCAGCTCCTTGCTCGCTCAGCAAAGGCGTAGTGGGGGACCCTGTGCCCATCCCCTGAGCCAGCA